GACAAGTGTGGCTGTATATTACAATATACTTACAAAAACAGACTGCTAAAATATTTAAATACATTAACCATACTGTCCAGTGTTATCATGGCTCTATAATTACACCAATTATCTCCCTTTATTCTATTTGATCATGACCAAATGGTAGCACATAAACATTTCATAAGTACAAAATGTTTTATGTAGGAAGTGCCTTAAGCCATATCATCCAATTATCCCTATAATTTGAGCAGTGATTGAACCAATTATCCAACATTTTATTGACAATAAACACGGATTTCTTCCTGTAATCTAATTCTACCAACACCACCATAAAAACCAAAGTAAAAGGCAGTCTAAAAATATATGTGACACCTCAATACCTCAACCTCTGACTCAATAAATTCAAATTTTATGTTATAATAAAAATTTAATCAAAATTTTGAGTCATAAATCTAAAATTTATGTATTTTCCAAAACTAATTTCATGTAATTGAAGAAAAGGATTATCAAAATCTTAAAAATTGTACTTGAGTAATAAACAAATATAACTCTTGAAATAGCATTGTAATTCAGAAGTTCAGATCATGGTCAGACCACTGTCTGGTTAGCACAATAGGTAAGAGTGTAGGACTATGAATCGGGTGATCCAGGTTCGATTCCCAAACAGTGCAGGTCACTTTCATTGTGATTATCATGAAATCCTTTCTACGGTCTTTCACACTGTACCTCTGCTCTGGTATGTACAGAAGTTATCAGTTCCTTGTGAAAGTGAAGGCAACTAGTACTGGTAAACTGTTTGACAGCTTTCCAGGAATGATGCGTTGGAAGAACCGTGCTCTGGTTAATTCAACATGGCTTACTGTAACCTTGATCGGGAGTGAAAACTACCAATACCACCAACAAACATTTCACTCCATTCTAGTAAACTAGTATAACATTCAGACTTGCTCAAAATTTTGCATACCAATAATTTTTTTTCTGTATATGACTATTACCGGTAAATGAATCAAAAGCAATATAATAATTAATGTTTTACTTACAGAGAATTCGACTCCTCCATCATTACCTCCATCATCTTCCCAGCATTATTCACAACTGGAAACCTAAAACAAAAATATAACCTACCATAGAAATATCATATACCGGTTTAATTGACAGTATTTTTGCACATTTTGATAAAGATACATAAATATCAATGCACACTGTAAGAATTTAATACCTGGTTATGACAATTTATGCAAATTTCAACAGTTATTATACATAATAGTGTGACCTGTTATTACTTTTTCAGAAGTATAAAAAAGAAAGGAATTTCTAATTTTACAAAAAAATATTTTGCATATTTTGTTACAAAATCTATCTGAAATTATAATCATAATCTGCTATAAAGCAAGGGAAAAGACATGCAATGGTCGGGAGTTTTAACATGGCCATGAAAATATAAATAATGCATGAAGAAAAATTAAAGAATAAAATATATGAAACCACATAACAAAGTAATTCTCTTTTACATTACAACAAAATAACAAGAACTATGCAGATTTAAGTCATGTAAACTTATCAACAAAAAAACAAGTATATAAAAAGTGTAATATGAATTTTCAAAGGCCTAATTAAATATAGTATATAAAAATAAAATGAAAGCCTCATTGTAAAAATAAGAGAGAGAATTTCTTCTATGATCACATTTCTGTCAAAACATTTAAAAAATTTTAATGAAATTTTCTTACCTGAAGCAATCATTTCCCTCAGATTAACTATAAAGATGATCTATCGTTAAAATAGGGCCGAATGTGAGAATTGTAACAATTGTGAAGTACAGTAAGTGAGCGAGGATACAGTGGGGGGATCCGAGACACATCAATTATGATTTTACCGTGTGAGAATACAGCCACGATGATCACATGTTACATCTACATAGAACGACTCTCTAACGTATAATTAGCATATTAAATGAGTTATATTTTGTAAAGTTCTCATATGGACAATAACAATCCAATTAAAACAGGCATAAATATGTTTATATTTTTTTCGCCCTCTATTGCTTTTTCAGATGATATCGGATAAATTATTCAAATGATCATATAATTTGTTTCTGACAATGTAGACAGGCACCATTTTGTCTACAGACATACTGGTATGACTAAGCTAGGATCAAGCTTACAACCTTTAAAGGGACTCCACTGAGGTTTTTCGGGCATGATGATACAAGAAATATTTTTCCGATATTCATGTACCATTTGATGTAGGTTTGGACAAATAAATTGTGTGCAAATATTTTAGATCATTACTTCAACCTGTTCTTCCAGTATATTCACATACATGTATGTAGTGCAAAATGACCTACAAATGAATGCTTTTCAGGCAAAATTTGTTAGGAAACACATAAAAAATGGATTTTCCGTTTAATTCCGAGCATATTTCTTTATTATCCTTTGCAGATTTTTCCATTTTAAGAGCTTGACTTGATCTGAGCAAGAATTTGAATTTTTTAATTTTTTAGGCCTTCGACCTCAGCAGTTGAGTGGAGCTCCTTTAAAATTAAACTCTCACTCAAACAATATAATTTTGGGCTCTCAAAGATGGCATTAAAAAATTATAAATTTTTACATGATACATGTGCAACTTTTGCGGCTCAGTAACATTGGTATTATACCACTGATGCTCATATAATTTTATTTTATATCATTAAATGAATTCAGAATTGAACCCTAGTAACACACATTTAACATCCTCTACGTAAGTTTGGTCGCTGACAAAATCTGACCAATGAAAACATGTAACATGTTACCCTTATGATGACCAGTATCTAGAAATAGAAGCTAAGTAGGAATCTCAAAACTTTTGAATTTTGAGTGTTAAATATTATATATGAATTTGTTTTTTAATAATTTGTTTTTTTACATAAATTCTTCCAGGTAATCTAGATATTGACTTCTATTGAAAATCTTAAATTGTAAAAGGGACATAAAATGTGGCAAAAAAAAAATTAATGAAATTATATTTCTCAAACTTTTAAGAAAATTTATAGACCATGTTAACATTTCAGTATAATTAAGATATTTACAAAGATAATATAAACATTTTCAACAAGTTTAGTGATTCATACCTTAACCAAAGGTAAATATACATTATAGTTTCAAGGTAAAGTTAAGACTTAAAACTGAAAAGACTTATCATTGTAAATCAAAGGTTTTTCTCTTTTTGGGGGTTATATCACACAATATTGGCTATACAAATATGTTACAATATTATAATAACAGTAACACATTTAACTTCTATATTTATTGCAGAATTTGATGTAGGTCTGTAAGACTATGATAATGCCTGTATTGCACCATGAACATTCCAAGGGAAGTAACTATGAACACCTTAAATTTTACAAAGGTAATAATTATCAAGTAGCACATCAGGTCTCAGACCACAATTATTTTCACTGTATGTTCTATATAAACATTGAGCCGAGTGGCAACTTTAATAACACTCTGAGCAAATCTTTTATGTGGATTTACCTCCTCATTGTGATCAAGGGAAGGCAAATAACTATGGCCGGATTTCACATAGCAATGCAATAATGCATGAACAGGAAGCAAAGATCTTTGTACACCAGAAAAGTCAATGATGAAACTGACCATGTACATGCATATATCAATTCTGTTCATTCATAATCTTTGGAACTGTCCACCTGTGAGAAAATCTAAGAAGTGAATGTGTTTCATTATTCTGAAACCTGGATACATTGCCCTCAACCTGCTGAAATATACATATTACAAATATGTAATAAATTGATTCACCTTGCTTTGAATTTGGAACAGTCCATTAAAAGTTTCAGGGACATCAATGTCAAACTACCAAAATAATTGTTACCAACTGTATAGAGCCTGGTCAGACAGACTTCACAGATGTACAGACTGGCCTGGCTCTATACTTGTGGAAATAAGGCTTATCACTTTTGGTTCCAGCAGGTTAAGGTTTTAAAACCGTCAAGTCAAGAAGTTTTACTGTTGGAGACAGCCCCTACATTCATCTTTGTGAATTATTCTATAGATACACAGAAGCTTCTGAGGGAGTTTTAAAAACGAACCTTCTATAAGCTGGATAGCAAGGAAATTCTTACATGGTAGAAAACTGCCTCCAATCAGAATTCATTTCAAAGTGGTAACTGGTGGTTTGGTGGAAGACAATTTTTTTTAGTAGATGACAATTTTTTAATCAGATTCAAAAATCTATTTTTACTAATTTTATGTATCACATGTTGTATTTGACTGCATGATATACGATTTATATGTAATCAAATGGAAAATGAAAACATCAGAGTCAACAAGAAATATATTCAAAATTATTTATTTTTCATTATACTGTAACTTTTAATAGTTGTGTATTATAAGTAACATAACATTTATAGTTAACAAAATTATCAACATTTTACTACATGTTTTACAAACATGTCAATTACATCATAATGTCAATAACATTATAATATGCACATAAAATAAAACCCTGATACTAGCTTATCACATTTAGAAATTATTCAAATCGAAGGATGGAATAATTTCTGGATTTCAAATGTACCCCATAAGCACTGCAAGGGAAAAAAGACATTATGACCAAAAGTGATCCTAAAATAAGTTCGGTTTTACATCACACCTTCCAGCTTTACTGTTACATTGTACGGTGGAGGAAGACCTTAGATGCCCTTCCGTGCATTTTTTCAAGCACAAGTGGGCACCCAAGCAGAACCACCGACGAGCAGAACCACTAACGAGCAGAACCACTAACGAGCAGAACCACTGATGTTCTGGATAATAAGGCTTATTAACAGGGATAAATCAAGAGTAATTTCTCAGAGTGTGAATCATCACTAGATCTAGAAAATCATCAACATTAGACGCCATTGTTTATTTTCGCTATAATTAGATCATCATACTCAGCCTCGTTTTCAATTTGGTCAAGTAACCAACATTGTTTGTACACACATACTGGCACTTATTAAGAACACATTTGCTGGATAAATACCCTTCTCATGGCAGTCTAGACAGTTTTAGAAAAAACATACAATAATGCCCTTCAAACAGTTTATCGTGTGTTAAAAAATCAAATCTGCGTTAAAGAACTAAGTCATGATTCTTTTGATATAAAGTCTATACATATATGTGTACAATGTATATATAACTATAGCACTTTAATAATAGTTTATTGCACATAATTAGTCATCATATAATTTACATATCAACTTTTCATTTACTAAATCACCTTTTGATTTCAAAAATTGTTATAATTATTTGTACTGTCATTGAGATAATCAAAACTAACGTACATTACAAGATACAAAATACTTCTATGTTCCATCATTCAAAATAGCTGAACTTATACATTGATAAAACCATTTAACATCTGTATCTCCATTATAATTATATCAGCATTTATCTAAAGTCAAATTTCAAAACCCAGCAAATTTAAAATGCTTTTTTTTTTACTGTAAGATGAAAAAAATATCACTCAAATAGCACTTAATGCAATGCGTTCGTAACACTTAAAAGTTTCTAATATACAAAAATATTAAACATAAGTTTTCAGGATCTAATCAATATAAACATAAAATGCAAAAATTCTTCTTAACAATATAATGATTATCATTTCACCGGAGTTTTTTTTTAACCACAGTAGCTTCATGCCGACAATACTCCCAGTAACTTTACTATGTTTGAGTTGCAATAACAAAAGTTTTTGAAAAAACAATCAAGAAATCAATCAAAAGATTAACTCTTTAACAGAAGCAAAATAACAAAGCCTTTAAAGATAAGCATAGTCATAACATGATATTTTATACAAATGTACTTTTATCATTATCAGATTATTTGGTATAAATTGTGGAGTAACATACATTGCAATCATTTCGTTTTGTAATTTCCTAGTTTTATCTTGTATATTTCACGGTGAATATAATACATGGCAATATTTTTATACAATCATGAACTGCTTCAATACATGGTTTGACATGAACTGCAAATAAAACATATTATCCCAGAGAAATGACAATGTCCTAGAAATTTGCATATTTTCAATATAAACTGACACAAAAATTTTATTCCATAAAATCATTTTTGTCCCAATCTTATCTAGTACTTTTACAATTGTTCTGCCATTGCTACCATTGCTATCATTGCATATTTATTTTAGATGTCCTCAGTGTTTTCAATTCCAGCAGTAACTGGTTTAACATTACTTTGGACCATATCACATGATGTTTTTCAAAATTTTGTACCAGCAGTTTCATCTTTGCATGAGTCTGATATATTGTCTTTATCACAGGCATCTTCCCTATTCATCTCATTGGTTTTATGTTTTTCATCATCTACAGGTTCAAGGACTTCTCTATCTACATAGTTTTCATCATGTGGGATATTTACTGTAGGTGTTACATCACATTGGATAGTATCTATTACATTAACATCATTGACCTCAGCTTGTTTGGTTCCTTGGATTTCAGTAGACACTTCATCATGGTTTTCAGTGGACAATTCATCACAGATTTCCGTAGACAATTCATCACCTTCACATGCATAACCTTCAGCTTCAACTTCATTTGTTTTACCTTCAGTTAAAGGTTTCACATCACCTTCAGTTTGACTACTAGGAATTTCGACTAAGCTTTTTATTGCACTGCTTTCAGAAACCTGTCTGTTTAAATCTACATTTTCACTATCAGATTGTATTGTATTTTTCCTTTCATTACCCCCTGTTGTTATTCCATTATCACTATTTAATCTATCACAATCTGGATCAGTCTCTTCCACTATCTGATCAATAAGGTCACTATTATCTTTATGCATATTTTTATCAACTTCTTCTACAGATTCTTCCTTTATTACAGAATCATCTCCTGTTTCAATAGTTCTTTCAGTAAAATCAGAGTTACCTCCCTGTATATCTTTGTGTTGTTCTTCAGTGGGTGTATCAGAATAGTCACTATAGCAACTAAAAGTTCTTGTTAATGAATATAAATGAAGAGGACTACTTTTATCTACAGACTCCACATGTTTTAAACTGTGGAAATCAAAGTGCTGTATAGACATGGAATGTTCTAATGACTTTAAACTCAAGGACGTCCTATCTAACGTCTGAGCCTTTCGTAAACTTTTCTCTTTATCAAAGTGTTGTATGGATAAAGCTAGTTTTAGACTAGCATCATTTATAGCTGGAGAGCTGTGGTCAAACGTCTGACTTCTCTTAAGTTTTCTTTGTCTGTCAAATGTTTTTATTCCTTGACCAATTTGTTGTAGCGTATTTAGATGCTTGTCTTCAACATTGGAAACCATTTTTCTCAGTTTTTCATTTCCTGGAATATGTTAGTAATGCAATAACTTGCGAAGCAATTCAAACAAAGTAACCAAAGCAGACATGCAAAATTTAGAACATGAAACAATGAAAATGTTTAATTAAACAGTGTTAATATTTCTTAAATTAACATAAAGATTGAAAACAGTTTCAGTACTTAAAACACTTTTAATACAAACAAATAAACCCTTTAAATCTACAAAATGACATTTTCAATGAAGTTACATTTCTATAACCTATTTTTTCATATGATGATGCATATAAATCTAATTTCACCATAATGATTGATAATTGACAAATATTTACAATAAATAAAGCAGAAACAGTAACTACTGTCTTCACATCAAAGCTTAAAAGTGGAAGCGGTGTAAATAGGTTAACATCAAATTATATACTGGACTTGCCTTTTAAATTGAAACTAAAAATTGTAAACTTAAGGGATTGTAATCAAAAAGCTCAATTTAAGCAAGCAATAAAATGGAAGAACGGGCTCATATTTGAATCAATACTGGTGGCACAGCCCTGACATCTTCATATAACTGCTTCTCACACTCAACATTTTATTATAGAAGTGGTATTACCTTGTTGTTGTTGTTTATCTCTAAGATGTTCTGGAGCAGACTCAGATTTTGGTACTGATGTCTGTTGGATTGTAGGGGTTACAGGGGTCAACTTGTTGCGTAACTCCTCAGATTTCTTTTTCAACATATCTAATATCACAGGATCCTGCAATTATTTATTAATTTCAAATTATAAAATATTGTTATAATATAAGGTGTAGTTAATAATAAGAGTTACAAGGAATGATTTATAGAACCTAAATGATCTCAACATGAAGACTTTAACAGGAAAAAGCAAACATTGCTTATATCAAAGACACAGAATGAATGACTACTGTAACAATGTCTTGGGTTAATAGTTGCAGAGATAATAAATTCAAAAATTTTGTTGTTCCAATGGTACAATGCTCAGCTCTTTCTAGCACTCAAAATTTAGCAAAACTTTCGACTGTACTTTATCTTACAAGAAGTTACAGCAGAGAAATCAAACCTTTGTCATATCTGCAGGAGACTTGTGGTGTTTATTAAGTGCATCAGGATTGGCCCCATACTTTAACAGGATGCCTATAATGTCTAGGTTTCCTGTACATACAGCATGATGTAGTGTAGTGTTCCCATTCACATTTCCAAGGTTTACTGTGCTTGAGCGCTAAATAAACATTCAAACACGTAATTTTATAGTAAATTTTGTCAATGACATAAAAGCATAACAACTCTTTTGACAGCTGGCAAATTTTCAGTGAACAGTTTCTTAATCAATTTCCTGTACATAAAAATAATTAAACAGTATGTGTAATTTTGTAGTTAAAGACAAAGATTATCACTGGAAAATAATGTTTTATGGATAAAACTACCAACTTTATTTAGCTATTATTAATGCCTTGGCAAAATTGATTTATAAGAAATTAAAGCTTCAAATTTAGTCAATTTTTAATTATTACATTTTTTTGACATTTGATAATTGAGATATTCCAGATCAGATATGATCATTCAGATAAGACTTTACTAACCTGTAGGAGGAATGTAACAGTAGGAAGGTTACATTTGGCAGCAGCTAGGTGTAAGGCTATCTCTCCATGCTGATCTCGTATGTTAACATCAGCTCCACTCTTAACTAACAATTCTACCATCTGTAAACATACATGTACGATGTTTTTATAAATGTCTGGTTTTTTTTTACATCTTAAATTAATTTAAAATTGACTGTAAGACAGCATAGAATGTGTTATCTTATGCTTATGAATTTGGATGAAAAAGGTCAAAACAACTGGGCCACCGAAATTAAAAACTTACTTTTAAGAAACGGCTTTGGATACATATGGCAAAATCAGTGTGTTTCAAATGAAATTTTTTTTATACATACGTTCACACAAAGATTAAAAGACCAATTTCTCCAAGAATGGTCGTCAAAAATACACATTAGTTCAAAACTACAGTGTTATGCTAACTTTAAAACAAACTTTGGACACGAAAAATATTTGGAAATTGTTAAAATAAGAAAATTTAGAAGTGCCTTAGCCAAAGTAAGAATTTCAAATCATGCCTTAAATATAGAAAAAGGAAGATATAGAAACATAAATAGAGAAGAAAGAGTGTGCGAACTTTGTCAAGAAGACCAATGTATTGAAACAGAATATCACTTTGTTCTTGTCTGCAATTCATATAGCTCTCTAAGGAAGCTATATATTCCTAGAAAATATTGGGTTTCACCATCAATTAACAAGTTTAACATACTCATGAATACTGACTCAGAATCGCTGTTGTTAAATTTAGCTAAATTCATATTTTATGGTCTACAATATAGATCTGAACATATTGGTTAAATTAATTTCTACCAATATTTATATGACATTTTACTTTTAAATGTAATGAAGTTAAACTCACATAACACATACTAAAATAGATACAAATTAAAGTGTCGGTTTCTTCATTTGAAGGAACATTTATGCTTTATTTATACATTGTTAGCAAACGTGTGCAAATCATTAATGCCAATATGATTAAATTCTACATTAAGTCTATTATTGTTGATTCAAAATTTTTCAATGTATACATTTGAGTTTGCGATAAACTACGTTTTAGCATGTTTTGCCTTACATTTTGTTTCGGATAAGGTTAAACTGTTGAAAATGTATAAAATTAATTCTCAATTACAATTTCTATTTCAGACAAACTTTATAGAAAGATTTTTTTTCTATTAAAATAGCAGTGAATTTTGATGATATACATGTATTACTGTATTTGACTATTACCATAATACTTTAACACTGTTTTGTACATATGTAAACAAAAACTTGTAAACTATGTTTTGTTTTGGGCTGGTGGCCTATGAAGCAATAAAGATATTGTATTGTATTGTATTGTATTGTATTGTATTGTATTGTATTGTATTGTATTGTATTGAATGGTGTTAGTTGCTGAAGTCATATACTAGTTTTTTATTTTATTTAAAATGAATTTCACTTCAAGATTTGGTGTTTGTTTTTTCTTCTTTTCACTGGGGGGTGGGGGGTGGACGGGGGCATAAAAAACTAATGTTGGCAGGGGCACCTGCTGATATCTGTTATGTTACTAGGCTAGCAATGGTATTATAGGACTATATTATAATTATAACATATGTATGTAGGACATACACAGAGTTACTTACCTCAGTCTGATTATGGTAACAGGCAAGATGTAACGGTGTTATATGTTTATGTGTCTGTACATTCACAAAAGCTCCTTTCTTCAACAGTAACCGAAGTACCTCCATATAATCCTCTATCACAGCTATATGCAGGGGAGCAAACCCTTTCTTGTTCTGACAGTTCACATGTAATGTGTTCACACTGGAATGCTGAAAAAGCACATATTTTATTAAAGAAAGTTGAATATTGAATTATTCATATGCTTTATTTAACAGTAAGAATACATTCAAGGTCAATACTTCGGCAAGTATAATTTTTTGTAGCAAATATTGATGACATACAAATCTTGAAATGTATTGCATTTTGTTCAGACTTTTACATGTAATATGACTCCAATTTCATTTATTCATTTGAGCAAGTTTAAAACGATTGCATACAATTCTATATCTAAATATACTCATATATAGAAGTTCCAAAAAGAAAATTGTTAATTATCAAACAAAATCAGAAAACATATAGAACCAAGCGCTTCAAAAAAAAAATTTAAAATGCTTAAACTTAATATGAAATACTAAGGTACAAAGCGCAAAGCAGAACATGCATGCACCAAACACCAGTTCTTAATACAGTTGACTCTCGGTAACTCGAAATCCAAGGGACTGGGCATTTTACTTCGAGAGAAACGGAATTCGAGTAACCTGGATCTGCCTCCATTACGTTGACATTCGTACATGCATATACATGTGCCTGATTGAATGAGCAAAGCAGTAGGTTTGTTATTGTTGATAGCAGCAATACTGCAATATTTAACCGTTGAAATGACGGTAAATCACTTACAACTACAAATTATAAATGAACAAAAATATATTATTCAAAATTGAATACATGTATATTAATAGTGAAACATAAACACAAACATTCATAGCAATGACATAAATGCAAGTTTGCCAGTATTCATTAGTAAAGCAAATGTTTTTAATTGACGTTAATTGTTTCCGTTTCCGTTTTGTGAAAGTCGAGTTTTGAACATCTTGATTAAAAAAAAATCAAACTTATCATAAAAATGGCTTCGAATTATACTAAAAATGTTGGACTTTAATTGACGGGACCAAATTTTCTTTTCCACTAAACAGGAGTCTCAGTAAGTCAAAATTTTACCTAAGCGGAGTTAAAATACAAATATAAAGAAGGAAATTTGATGGGACTTAAGAAATTCTTCGACTTACAAGGAATTTTGAGTAAAGCGATTTTGACTTAGTGAGAGTCAACTGTACATGTACATGTAAAGATGATACTTTTCTGGCAGTTTTCAGGGCATATATTATCTGGATTCAACATTACATCAGCAATTATATCAACATACTTACATTAAATAGGCAAAGGAAAGCATGCCTTCAAATAAGTTTGTATTAACTGTAACCCTACTTTATCTTGCTTGACACCAAGCAAATAAGCTGTCAAAAGTGCATAACTTATCTTACAAATAGATGTTATCCGTAACTCGGCAAATGTGGGTTTTTCCCAGCTAACCGTAGGTACAATGTGCAAACAAACTTTTACAATAATAGCTTTATGGTGCACTACCCATCACAGTAGACCTAGTCTACCTGTTGTGCTAATTATCAAAGCTATTACTGTAAAAGCTTATTATCGAAAATATAACTTGACTGTAAAAGCTTGTTTGTGCCTACTGATTAGCTGGGGAGAACCCAAAATATTCTTAATTCTGGAGTAAGTCTATTATACTTTACTGCATGCTGTCAAACAAACCAAAACTTAAAAGCAAAACAATTAAACTTGAAAGTATATCTTGGATAAAGAAAAGGATCTACTAGTATGAACTTGTATTACGTATTTCTTATAGACAGATATAGCATCATTGCAGATCAGGGTGGGTTTTTTTAGCATGCAGAACTTTATCATGCCATTAACCAGTATGCCGACCGTAAATACTTAGGAATGGTATAATTATGACTGTATAGATAATATGACAATAGATGGAGTCATGCTCCTTACCATTCCAGGGTTAACATTCCACAACAAATACTTTATAAATATATACCCAACAACTTTAATTACATTCTCTGTCTAACAAATCAACTAAACTATATCACTCATTCTTGTTCTAACACATATCAACCTAAATAGATCACTCGCATAGACTTCAACATAAATACGTGTATTGTAAATGATTCAAAATTTCTTATTTAGATAATATATATCAAGTTTTTTTTCTTTATTACTCACCAAAAAATTGATCGTTACACATCAATATTCAGCTTATCACACAAATTATTGAAATTCCATTATGTTCTAAACATAGAATAGCCCTTAGTTACGAAGCCTGATATGGGGTACCAAAATTATCTATTATTTTGTAAGAAGAAAAGTTTTTTTTCTTTATTCAGTATGCAATATCCAACTCAAATTAACACTGGTTGTTGTGGAGATGTACTTAGGATATAATGTCTGTATTTAAGTTCAATACCACAAACTTTATCTAAATGACTAAACACATGCAGATTTATATATGAGCTGCAAATATTGTGTCAGTAATGAAATAATAACCTTAAACAATAAACTGAGCTTGATGGGTTCAACCCCCTTTCTCAAGAGCAAGCCCATGTTTCCTTGAGCAAGAAACTTTACACTGTTTATTCAATACTGGTTGGTTCCAGAAACGGTTTCTATAAGCTCCTAACTTCCTACACAATCAAACTAAAATAAATTCTGCATTAACTAATAAATTTATTAGGTAGTGTCTACAGTATTTTATTTTTTCAGCTTGCCAGATTTTGGCCTTTTATGACCATGACACCAGGGTGACTTAAACCAACAATAACCTTGTCGAGGAACAGACATTTTACTATTAAAGCAGCATGTCTCCAGATTTACGCTAATTTTCAAGAAAAAAATTACATGTAATTTGTATTCAAAAGTAAAATATCATGAAATGAACAAATATAATAATTTACACATTGCAAAAGGCTCTTACAATCATTGTAAGTTACCAAAAAAAAAAAAGGTTTCCTTGCAAAATATTTTGGATCATCTGGAGGCATGCAACTTTAAACAATCACCTTCAATCACCATAATAACCATGAAATATTAACAATCACATAAAGCACAAAATATCTATTAAACAACTGAAAAATTTATTTTATTACAAAAAAAAAAGAGAAAAGAAATAAAAACAACACCTACTTTCTGTATATGTTTACATTTATCACACTGGCACAATGGGTGGCAAAGTTTGGCAGCTATATTCTCTGTTAGTACCGGGGTTGTCGGTGGGGAAACAGGACTATCTGATGAACTGGATGAATCTACCCAACCAAAATAATACTCAACCTGAAATAATTATAACATATCTTTACTACTCTGAAACAAGGTATACAGGCATGTGAGCAGTTCCCATACAATCGTAGTTACTTAACTAGAACTGTGTCCAAAGGACACGGATGCCCCCACTGACAACATATATATGGTATATAGTGAAAAAATCAACAAAGGGCCATAATTCTGTTAAATTTGGTCGCAGCAAAAATTCCTTCCTTTACTACCATCTACACATTAAGGTTGTCATCCCTGGAAGTTTAAGCAAAATCTGCCATCCGGTTTAAGAGGAGTTGCCTTTCACAAAATTTCTATATCGTATATAGTGAAAAAATCAACAAAGGGCCATAATTCTGTTAAATTTGGTCACAGCAAAAATTCCTTCCTTTACTACCATCTACACATTCAGGTTGTTCATCCCTGGAAGTTTAAGCAAAATCTGCCATCCGGTTTAAGAGGAGTTGCGTTTACAAAATTTCTATATGGTATATAGTGAAAAAATCAATAAAGGGCCATAATTTTTTTTTTTTTTTTTTTTTTTTTTTTTTTTTTGAGGCCCCAACTGGGTAACCCCGTAATAGGTATGAGAGGGTCGGGGTCATCCCTCTTGATACCTTACATGATATCTACATAATATTTAAAATCATCATCTATAACAATATTTTTTATATAATTATAATATACATTATATTTCAAACATTCAATCAATTTTCATATAATATGTATAACAATTATGTATGATAATGTATTATGCAACAGCTTCAAAACAAAACAAAGAATATTGGTTTTGGGGTAAATTGATTTAGTGTAGCCTATTAGTTTATTAAAGTTCTTTACAATTTGCCATCCTTCATTTACATGTTTGGTCAAATTTGTATTTTTGTAAATATTCCACGCCAATTTAAGACTATTTTTAAAACCAGGTATTGTAGGTAACACGATTTTTCTCTTTGACAAATAAATATATCTTTTCAATTCTAAAAAACAAAATATCATTTTTAAAATCATTAACTTCAGAACCTAAAATAAATGATTTACAATTAAAATTATCATCCAAATTATCTATCTTGTCTTCAGATATTGAAATAACAATTGAATTTTTGGACATTCCCAAAATAAATGCAAACAGAGTTTCCTCTTGGGCAATTGCAAAAAGTACACATTTTACTATTGACAATTTTCATTTTGAATAAAAGTGAGTTTGTTGCTAAAGTTCTATGAATTATTCTTGTCTGAAACCACTGAATATAGGAATCTTTGGTACATTTAAATACATAACTATATATTAAATTCCAATTTATAATCAAAATTTGTAAAAAATGAGTTCCATTTTTCTTGACATGTTGGTACATCTTGATTTCTAACTAGAATTTCATAAACATACTTTTTGTTATTTTTGTGTAATTAAAATAGGTTTTATATAACAACTCATAATAGGGTATTGAACATTAATAAAATCTTTACAAATAGAAATGTTAAGCTTTTGTGTATATAATAATATTGCTTTTTTCAAACTATGATATTGTAAAAAATGTACTTGTTTTTGTGTCACCTGCTCTAAGTAAGTTAAATCTACAAAATCGCCTTGGGGATTAATAATATCATTAACAAATCTGATTCCTTTTTCATAAAAAATTTTGATATAAAAGTATCTATTTCCTACTAACAAGTTATGATTGTAAAACAATGGCATTTGTAACACTTGTTCTAAACTGTCTATACAAAGTTTATCTGTAAAAATCATATAAGCTTTTAAAACATCTATCCAAAAAGCATTTTTAATTTTATCAATTGTCAATTTACAAAACAATTTACCTGTGCTAAACACTTTATCAATATTGAATAAAGCCATCACTAGCTTATAACATTTACTGTTAGTATTACTAACATACCTTTTAAACCATTTTATCTTTATAGAATGTATATAACTATCAATATCAATCATATTTAGACCACCTTCCTGATATGTTTTTAATAACTACTGATTGCTTTATCTTTTGCTTTACCTTCCCATATAAATTTATAAAATAAGTCATTAAGTGTTTTTCAAAAATGCTGAATTAGGTGTTGGGTAAACTTGTAAAGCAATGAGTGAATAAAGGAAGGAGTAATGACTTAACAACAGTAATTTTTCCTATAGGTGTTAACATTCTTTTTTTCCAGTATCCTATACTATTTTTTAACTTTTTGAAGTTTTTCATTAAAATTTAAACTCTATTCAATTTTTTCTAAATCAACATCAAATATCAAACCTAACATTTAAACTGTGTATCACCCATGTCAGTTTCCATTTTGTCTTAATTGATCTTTGTACTGTATTTAAGAGAGAGCCTATCCAAATAACTTTAGTTTTATCAAAATTTACTTTCAATCCTGAAAATTTTCTGAAAACGTGTTTTAATAACTTTAAAACAGTATTAAGGGAATTTTTCTGATCCATCTAGCAAAAGTGAAGTATCATCAGCAAATTGTGTAATTTTATATTCCTCCCCATCTATATTTATACCTTTAACATCTTTACATTGTCTTATTTTTATTGCTAAAATCTCTGCACATAAAATGAAGATATAAGGTGAAATAGGATCGCCTTGTCTACAACCTCGTTTAACTTTGAAAAACTTTGATAAAAATCCATTTAAAATAACACAAGTTTCAGTATTATATAAAAATAAAGATATCCATTTTTTTTAAAACATAGGACCAAAATTGAAAAAGTTCTAGACATTTCTCTATAAATGTTAAATGATAACGTATCAAATGCTTTTTTTCAAAAATCTATCATCATTACTAAACCTGGTATATCATTATCCTCAGTATATTTCATAATATCATACAATAATCGAGTGTTCTCACCAATATATCTATTTTTAACAAATCCTGTCTGATCCTTTGAAACTAAAATATCTAAAAACAAGTTTAAGTCTATTTGCTATTGAACCTGAAGCTAATTTATAAACTACATTTAATAAAGTTACTTGGTCTCCAATTTTTTTAAAAATTGTTTTGGTTTTTTTTCTTTTGGAATGCATGTTATTGTTCCTAGCTTTTGATTTCTAGAAAAAGAATTAACAGTATAAGCAAAGTTTATAGCTTTTACAAACAAAATGTCCAATTCTATTCCAAAATATTTTTAAAAAAATTTGCTGTAAATCCGTCACAACCTGGGCTTTTATCATTTTTCATGTTTTTTTAATGTAAAAGAAACTTCATCATATGAAAGTAGACCTTCAAGATTTCAATGCTTCATTTTGAGACAACTTGGTAACATTACCAATTTTCTAATTCCATATCAATCTTAGATTCTTCAGTTATATCAACATTTTTATATAAATTTTTCATAATAACTACATGTCTTTTGTAAGAATATCTTTTTGATCATATATAAAGGATCCATCATCAAGTTCTAGAAAAGGAATAATTTTATCTGAACAATGTGTTTTTTCTAAGTTCAAAAAATAACTAGTAGGCTTTTCTCCAGATTCAATCCATTGTGACCTTGACCTTATCATAGCACCTCTTATTTTTCTATTTCTTAATTCAGTCAATTCATTCTGTAAGTGTGTAAAAGTTTGTCTTTATTTTCAATTGTCAGGTTTTGCTCTATAAGATTAATTTCTTCAATTAACTTTTTTTTCATAAGTGTTTCTTTCTTTGACCTTATAAAGAGCTGTAAGATATAGTTTTACCTCTTATTTCCATCAAAAGAGTTCTAAAAAAAGTTCATCATTTATAACAAAATTTACATCTTTGTTTTTTGGATCTAAAACATAGTCTATATTGTATACTGATAAACAATATTGTAATTTTACTTCATCTATTTTTTAATTTATAATATCAAGGAATTCAATGTCATATAACAGAGCATTATTAAATTTCCATAAACCTTTTCCATGACTTTACAGAACTAAAACAAAAAATCTAAATATATTATTGAATGATCAGATTTATAACTAATGTCAATATCACATTTTCGTACATAACTGATATAAACTATTTGATATAAGAAAAAAATCTAGTCTACCTTGTTGTATAGGGTTGGTTCGTCTCCATGTATATTTTTTTCATATTACCATGCAGTTCTCTAAAGGATCAATGAGGTCTTTTTCTTCAATAATTATACTTATTAAAAAATTTCTTGCCTTTACATTATTGTTTTTTTTTTTTATAATTATAATAATCTAAGTCAGGATTTTGAACAAGGTTGTAATCTCCACAAATAATTAGAGAGTCATTATCATCAAAAAGAATCTAAAGTATCAAAAATGTTTTTTAAAGAAACTAGGACTGTCTATGTTTGGCGCATAAATATTAACTAATGTGAAATTTATAGAATCAAGCATTATTTGTAAAAATTATGAAATTTCCTGAATCATCAGTTTTAACAGAATTAATTTTTATATCTAAACCTTTTCTGCATAAAATAGCCACACCTTTGGCATTAGACTTACCATGGCTGTAAAAACATAAACCATTCCATTCAGAATAAATTTTCTTTTCAATTTCTTTTATAAAATGTGTTTCCTGTAGGCAGAGAATATCAGCTTTTTTTGACTGAAATAAATCTAAAACATCTTTTCTCTTTATACTATCGTGTAAACCTCGACAATTGTAAGAGAAGATATTAAGACTACTCATAACTAATATTTACAATAATACATTCAACACTATATCTACAATATACATAGCTACACTTAAGTAAAGTAAATACAATATGTACATGGACCCAGAGAAACACTTCTAAATAACATATTTGACCTCAAAAATATAAAAAAAATTTGTTTGTATATAAAGAATGAAATACATTTTGCCAATAAACAAGTAAATTTACTTATTGAAGAAAAATTTTTTGTAGAAGATGCATAATATGTTTATGTTTCATCTAATTATATCAAAAATTGAAACATTCTTTTTCATTGTTATTTCTAAGTGAATAACATTTTCAATGAATGAAAATTATAAATTAGAGGATATCAAAGATTTTCTCATAAACGTGTGATTCATTCTCTTAGAGGAGT